GTTACACTCTCCCCCATCTAGATTGAGAACATTTACAGCTTCAATCGATTATTGCCTCAACGAGGCTTGCGTGTCCGCTAGACACTGCAACATGGTTCGTTGAAACAAAGCGACTTCCGTGCTCAATGATCCCTGTGTCAAAGACACTGAAGTAACCCTAGACCACGGCCGGTCATTGACCCTCGTGTGGAATATGGCTTACGCCCGGCGGATCCCGCTGTGGAAGTAAGGACGCGGTAAGCTCGACCGTTACGCCTCCACAACAACGGGCCCCCGGCCATTGCAGAAGATGAGCTTGTCGAATGGGAAGCTCTTCGAGATCTCCATTTGTAATGGCGCCGAGCGCTCCACCGTCGCATACAGCGACGCATTCGCCTGCTCCACGGCTAGGAGTTGCTCTGCAGGGCGCGGTAGTTCTCAAGGTGAGGCAGCCGGCGCACGACGTGCTTCAAATCGTCAAGAGTGTCCGCACAGCGATATGCTCCGTGCTCAGAACCAGTTGCTGCTTCAGCTTCTGGGTGGCCGAGGGCCCGTGGGATCCGCCCCAGCGCCAAGGCTTCCGCGTTCACTTGCGCCGGATCCCGGAACGGCTTGAGCAAATCCTTGTAACACACCGGGTAGGTGCGCATCCGTTTTGGAAGGTTCAGCGTATACGCTAGGCCCTGCTTGGGCACAACCTTGTACGGTCCGATAATTGTGGACGAAGCTTCGTCCTGAAGATAGCAGAGGCTGCATGTGTAGAAAAGGGTTTAGAATTAATAAAACCAGGTCCCCGACCTTAAAGCTTTCTACTTTGCCGCTTCCTTTTTCATCTGCATATTCTTTCTGCAGTTCTTGGCTTTCAGCCATCGCATCGCGAACTTGTCGTAGGACACTCAGTCTGGTAGACAAGAAGTCATCGACTTCTTTGCGGATGGTGAGGGGTTGACATCGGCTAGCCCTTCGGCTATTCCTCCACCATCAAGCCCTGAGCCATGGGATGGCGGCGTCAGTGGGACGCGAGGGTGAACCAGCCCGTTCAAGTAGAACGGCGTGTAGTCGGTGGACGAATGCACTGCATTGTTCAGCGCAAACTTTACGAGTGGCAACATGGCGCTCCAGCGCCTCGGCCTTTCAGCGCAGACGCTGCAAAGAACGTCTTCGATGATGCGATTCACTCTTACGGTTTGACCATCGATCTGCGGATGATTTGCCGTCGACATATTTAACTTGGTGCCTAGCACCTTAAAAATTGTCGACCAAAATTTTCTCGTGAAACGGGGGACTCTATCAGAGACAATTGACTCTGGGAGTCCGTGTTGCCGGAAAACCCGATCTACGAACAGCGTTGCTGTACCGACTCCGTCGATGGAGTCTGGCACCGCCGCCTAATGAGCTATCTTGCTCAACCGGTCGACGAGCACCACGACACCCGTGTTGCCCGCCGAATCTCTCGGCTGGCCGAACACAAAGCCCAAACTCATAGACTGTCAGCACCCAGTGGGTACCGGTAAGCTGGCCAGCGGCGCAGCCACATTTGGAGAGAGTTACACCCGTTGACACGTCTCACACGTGCGCACATCGGTGCTCGTCCATTTGTACAGCTTAGGCCACCAATAGTGGTGACTCACCGAGTTGTACGGTTTTTCATGACCGAGACGACCACTGCGTGGCGTGTCGTGAGCCTCATAGAGGATGCAATATTTCAAATCCTCATCATGAGAACCACAATTTGTGGTGTATCCGTTGAATCGGTGCTATAAAATAGCAAGCCGTCATTCAACGAGTATCGGTGCAATCGTGCACGCAGTCTTGGTGACAATTTCTTGTCCGAG